TGTCTTTTCCCTCTTTTTGTTTCCCCAGCACTCAGTACAATGCCTGGCACATAGTAGGTGCTTAATGTTTATTATTGATTGATAGCACAGCTGTGTTCTAAGCAAAAAAACTTACTCAGGTTCTCTTCCTGACCTCAGTTGCACCAGCTTCTTAGGCTCTGTAAGCCTTGGTTTCCCCAGTACACAGGGCTAATACTGGTCTACTTTCCCAGGATATTGATCAGCAGACATTGAAAGCAATGAGAAGCACAAGGCATTATGAGATGCAGTACTGGAATGAAGTGTTTTTAATACAGTGTTCTCTCGTAAGAGTGTCTGGATGAAATAGACCTGGCCTGAAATTCATTAGATGGAAGCAAGAAAGACCCCCGCAAGAGGACTGTGATGAAAGTTTTAGTGGGAGACTGAAGGAATGCAGGCCACTGGATATGAAAGTAGAAGCCGGAGCTCCTTGGAACCAGCTGCCGGCTGAGTCTGCATCTCCAAAGGCCATAAGAGCAGAAACAGATGGATTATTACCTCCATTTCTAGAAGTTGGTTTGCTACCAGCAAGAGACAGCACTGGCAACAGACTGCACCGTCCTGACTGACCAGGTGATCAAGGGCTGCATCTTACTCTACTCAATGTGATCATGGATCTAATTATTTCATTAGTTTGCTTTAAATCAATCAATAGGTACATTTATTAAGCACCTACCCAGACATCTTGCTGAGTTTTGGAGATGCAGAGCATGAAAATCAGCTAAACTGAGTTTTGAAGCTTCAAATCTATTGGGGAGATGTCCACAGATGGGCAAATACAGGACACGTACAAATATAAAAAAAATACACACATATGCATGTATATATTTATATATATTTATAAATATATATTTAGATTTATAAATGTATTTATATATGTATGTATATATTTATATATGTATATATTTTATATATTTATAAATATATTTATAAGTGTATACATTTATAAACATATGTATATATTTTTATGTATATAGTTTATATATTTATAAACATATTTATACATTTATAAATACATGTATGCATTTATAAATAAGGTGAAGGGGTGGGAATTAATAGCTGTGGGAATTAAGGCAGGCCTTTTAAAGGAGGTAGTACCTAAGCTGAGCCTTGAAGGGTGATGGGGTTACCAAGAATTAGAAAAGAACATTCTATGTCCAGGCAAAGGTATAGAGATAGGAGATAGGGTCCCTTGTATGGGGATCAGAAACTAGGCAAGTGTGGCTGGAATGGAGAGATGAGTACATTAGAGGGGAGTAATGCATAATCAGCCTGGGAAGACAGCCAAACTGTATTGTATTTTAAAGACAATGGCAGGGGTCCTGAACCCTTACTGAGCAAGAAAGTGGTGTGGTCAAACCTGTGCTTTTACATCATGTGACAGTTATAGAGGATGGATTGGAGAGAGGAGAGATGGGAGACAGGAAGACCAATTAGAAGGCTGTTGCAATAGTCCAGGTACAAAACTGGTGATTAGGCCTGGACTGGGGTGACTGGTGCATTTACTTCTGCTGGGTGGGTGGGTAGACTTTTCTGAAACAGTAGGAAGAGCAAAATGAGACCTGTATTTCCTCCTTTTGTGACAGGCAGCACTACTAAGGGCATATGGGGTTTCCTCGGCCTTTATGTGGTTGCCCAAAGAGCCACATTCAGCATTTCAGTGCCCCTCCTCCAATACTCTGAACCTGCTCAAAGAACCAGAGGGTATCAGGGCATGAGAATATGATCCAGTGTCCAGGGAGTGCAGCAGAGCTGCTACCTGTGTCCTTACGTGGGTCACAATGGAGGATGCGATTCTCAAAGACACTAGTTCAATCCTGGGACCTTTGGGAACCTGGGAATTCATGTTCTACTACTTAAGACTCTTCTTTGATTCTTAGGCATATCATATGTCCTGAAGCTATGGCTTTGTAAAGAATTAAAAATGGTTTCTTTTTCTTAAAAAAAATTCAGCTCAGAGAGGAAAGCAAGTGGTGGTGGGATGGGAAGAGAATTGGATTTGGGGGGAGAGGATTTAAATTCAAATCTTACTTTGTCATTTATTTCCTATGTGAACTTGGGCAAGTCACTTACTTTCTCTCTTTAGGACTACAAATTAAAGAGGAAAGGCAGATCTGATAAATGGAGATAATTTGCTACCTGGGAGCTCCCCACATCCATTAAGTCAGATTGGGGACAAAATGACAGTAATAATAGCTCTCATTATCCTTTTAAAGTTCACAAAGTAAACCTTAGAACAATTCTCTGAACTAAGTAAGGCAGATATGTTTGTACCCATTTTGCAGAAGGGGAAACCAAGGCACAGAGAGGCTAATTGACCGCAAAGCTAGTTAAGTATTATTAGTGCCAGGATTTGAATCAGAAGGAGTATGCTGTATTGGTTGGCTCTGAAGTCAGCAGATCTGGGTTCAAATCCTGACTCTGTCATTTAGTCCGTGTATGATCATGGGCAAGATACATAATCTCTCTGGCTCTCAGTTCTCTCTTCTGTGAAATGAGGTGGTTGGATTAGATGACTTCTGAAGTCCACTCCTACTCTAGATCTATGATCATAGCTATAAAACCAATCAGTGACCTTAGACAAGTCACTGAATTCTCTTAGCCTCCATCTGTGTCTGGAAAATGAGCAGGTGAACCAGATACTCTCTAAAGTTTCTTCTAAATCTAAATCTATGATCCTGACTCATAGGTTCTCTTGGCTACTATGAAATGTTGCCCTATAACGACAAAAATGGAAAAGACCTTGGTGATCGCTAAATCCAGTTCTCAGAATTCGGGCCAGGGAGTCCCCCATAGCCATTTAAGGAGTTCACAAGGCCAAAACTATTTTCATAATACTACTAAGATGTTTCATTTTCTAACATGGTAAATATCGATACATAAAACACATGAACAAAAGCTCTTTAACAGGGGAGGTCTTCAGTGGTTTTTAAGAATGTTAAAAGCGTCCTGAGGCCAAAAAGTTTGAAAACCACTGACTTTTAATCCACTCCCCTCACTTTACAAGGAAGGCCATCTAAAACCCAGAAAAGTGAAGCCACTTAGGACCCCCTTCCACCACATCCCATCGCCTCCTGTTTCCCTGAGGAACAAGTCTCTTTTTTTTTTTTCCATTTCTCCTCTCTGACAACCCAGGGGTAGGTTTCTTCTCCCTTGGAGTTGTGAGAAAAGGCAGTTAGAACCCAGAAAGACTTATTCCTCAGGAGTGAGGGGGAAATGGGGAATCAGAAGATGAAAGAATAAAAGGGAAGAAGAGAGTCTTTGCTTTTGAATTCCTTGTCTCCTGTAGGCAACATCAGACTCCAAGAGAATATTCAGTCAGTGTGAGCTAGCAGTAAGGATGTCACAGCACACGTAGGAGAACGGGTATCAATGACTTTATTGATGACAAGAAATTATGTACTTCATGCTGCTATCTACTAACTTTGAACCATCTGTTCTTAATCACTGTTCTTGATACAACTTCTTGGGTTGGTTTTTAAAGCGTTAAAGGAGTTTTGCACCTTCCTTAAGGCAATCCAGCCTGCTCTCCAAGCCTTGTTTAGCTCTGGACTCATATCATCATCCCTTTGCACTGGATAAATAACACATAGACATGCATATGTACATCATGCCCAAGAGTCTTACTGCATGAATAATTTCATGCTTGAATAAAGCTCGAATAATTTCAGAAATGTAAATGCTACAAACCTTTTTTTAAAATAACATTTGAAAGGTAAATTATTTAATTTTCTAAAATACAGACAGGTTTCCCATTAAAATTCAACCTAACTACCATCTTGGGCTATATTTCACCTACTTGTTTTTCAAACTTTATAAGAACTTCTATCAGCTGCTGCTTAATGACTGAAATGATTGCATTTGTAATCTTAGAATTAAGATCACCCAAAGAATGAGTTTCTGACACATACATGATAATTTTGTTGTGACCCCACAAGAAAAATCCTATTGGAGATAGATCAAGGGACCAAGGTAGCCAAGCAAGAAGACCCCCTTTACAGAGTAATCTGTCTGAGAAAGTGTCATATAGAAGGTATAACACACACAATCCATAATGACAAGTTCCTTGAGCTGTTCAAAGGAAAATTTTAAAATGATTGTTAAAAATTCACAAAACTAATTGTAAATAAAATTTAAATAATTAAACTTTCAACTGATGTGGTTTTTTTAAAGGCTGTAGCATTATAAGATATTATAAACAGACAGATTTCAAAAAAATCTGGAGAGACATATTAACTGATGCAAAATGAAGTGAGAAGAACCAGGAGAATATTGTACACAGTAACAGTAATATTATAAGGATGATCAACCGTGAATGAGTTAGCTATTCTCAGCAATACAATGGTCCAAGACAATTCCAAACAACTCATGATGAAAATGCTATCCACTTCCAGAGAAAGAAGTGATGGAGTCCGAATGCAGCTTGAAGCATACTTTTTTTTCGATGTCTGCATGTTTTTTTTATGGGTTTTTCCCCTTTGGGTCTCTGTGTCCTTTCACAACATGACTAATATGGTAATATGTTTTGCATGATTGAACGTGTATAACTTGTATTAAATTGCTTACTGTCTCAGAGAGGAGGGAGGTGAGGGAGAGAGAGAGAGAATTTAGAACTCAAAATTTTTTAAAAATGTTAAAAATTCTCTTTACATGTAACTGGGGAAAAAATTGAAAATAAATTTTAAAAAAGACCATAGCATTTGTGCTTCTAAGGTTCTTGAAGCTTAAGGCTACACTAAGACTTTGGGATACTCAATAAATTTATATATATATATATATATATATATATATACACACACACACACACACACACACACACACACATACATACATATATACATATATATACATATATACACATGCATATACACATACATATATACACATGTGCATATACACATACATACATACATATATATACATATATATGATATATATATATATGTAACTGAAGATCTTCATAGAGCTTATAGAATTAGAACTGGAAGGGACCTCAGAGGTCATCTAGTCTAATCCCTTCATTTTACAGATGAGGAAACCGAGGGTCTGAGAAATAAGTGTCTTGCCAAAGGACACATACACATGGTAAGCATCAGATGTGGAATTTGAACCTCCAGGTCCTCTGAGTCCAGAGCCAGTTCTCTTTCAACTGGGCCCCACTGCTACCTTCTAGGTTGACCATCAAACCACATGCCATCATCTGGCCAAGGGACAAGTGCTCCAATGGTATCCTCATAATATTAGGAGAAAATGCAGAATGTCCTGCCCCACCTTCAACCCTCTGCCTGTTGATCTTGTGTCAAAGTTCCGAGAAGTCATCATCAAGAGCTTCACAGAACAGGCAGACATAGAAGGAGCACAGTCTGCATTATGGGAAGGGATGTCCAAATAGAGGAGACCAGAGATTGACTGCATAAGTATTTTTAGAGAAAGTAGCACCATTCATTCCTGAGACTGTTTAATGGATACACTTTAAATCTGGGACCCAACCAAGACTGTGTACTTGGAGCAAACATGAGAGTAGACTGATAGTATCCAAGGGAAGTCTTCTTAGGAGGAGGGGAGCAGGAAGTGGGCCATGATGCTCTATTTGGATCCTTGGCTATCTGGAGTGTTCTGGGCTTGGGGCAGAAGCGATGCAGCCAGCTTGGTGAGGGCTTTAGCGATAACATCCAAGTGTCCATTCATTGTCCTCAGCTCCACAAGGATGTTCCCCACATCTGCCTCCAAACTTGGAGTGGCTGCAGGAAACTGTTTGGAGCCTGAAGGACCCACATGACAGGGAAGAGATGGGCAGGTCTCTGGTGGTGGCCATTCTTCCACACTCCCTCGCTGACCATCTCTCTCTCTCCCATTCACGTGCAAAGTTCTATCTCTGCTCTTCTCTGGGGCCTGAGTACTTCCCTCCATGGGAGGCACATGCTCCTGTTCATCCCCAGAGCTCCCACTTGGAGGTATTGCCGAGGTAAGATTGGGCAGCCAGTCAATGAGGCGAGGGGCTGGTTCTGGAGATGTGACCAAAGGGGAGTAAAGTCCAAGATGTCTAGAGGTGCTAGAGCTGGCCTTTGGTGCCAATGGGAGCAGCGAGGGCAGCAGGGGCTGCAGGGCTGAGGAAGGAGGCGAAAATGGTGGGGGCACATGCTCACAGGAGGAGGATGGCGATGGGAGATCCGTGGTGGAGCGACCTGGCTCTTCAGAAGATAGGAACACAGTGGTAGAAGACGGGGAGTCCAGGCTGCTAGGTTCTGAATCTGTTAAGGAAGAAACAAGAAATTGTCACTTACTTATTTCAATAAGCACTTATTAAGCATCCATTCAGTGTCTGGCATTGATATAGGCACCATGGCAGGTAGGGGAGAGAGAGAGACAGAGACAGAGACAGAGAGAAAGAAATAGATAGAGAGAGACAAAGACAGAGAAACACAGAGAGAGAAGAGGAGGAGGAGGAGGAGGAGGAGGAGGAGGAGAAGAAGAAGAAGAAGAAGAAGAAGAAGAAGAAGAAGAAGAAGAAGAAGAAGAGGAAGAAGAAGAAGAAGAGGAGGAGGAGGAGAAGAAGAAAGAAGAGAAGAGAGAAGAAGAGAAGAGGAGAGGAGGGAGAGAGAAGAATAAGAAGAGAGAGAAAGAGAGAAGAGAAGAGAAAGAGAAGAAGAAGAGAAGAAAAGAGAAGAGGAGAGAGAGAGGGAGGAAAAGAGAGAGAGAGAGAGAAACTAAAATTTAGAGGTTAAATGACTTGTCCAAGGTCATATAGATAGCCTGAGAGGTGGGTTCTCAACCCATATCTTCTGACTTCATAGCCAGGGAATTTTCCCACCAAATCAAGCTGCTTTTGTAATTAATAAAATTTCATGTTTATGTAATGGGATTTAGTGCTTGCCCAGGCCACCTAAAATGGTGTCACTCATTTGGGAGACACTTGGTACCTGCTCCTGGAAAATAGGAGAAATGTCTGGTATATGTGTGGACATTTTTCCTTGGCCTCTTCACCCTTAGACACACATGCTGGAAAAGGGGAATTGTGCTCAGTCATATTGTTTTAAAGATGCAGATAGCTCAGGCTATGCAGCCATTGGAAAAATACTGCTCCCAGCCATCTGGTAGGCTAAAGCAGAATATCCATAGGTGTGCTACCTAGTTCTCCCAGGAGCAAGATCTAAGTATCTGCCAGATAGGGGACACCATTTTAGAAGCTCTGGACAGGTGTCAAATCCTGTTATATTTATAACTTTAAGGTCACTATGTTGTATGTAACATAACTAGGGGAATCTCTTTGCCACAGGGATTCTGAAAGTAGCAAGTGTGGGCTCCTCGACAAGCCAAAATATTCCTGCCTCTGACCATGGGAGTTTAGAGAACATTAATATGTCTGTCATACAATTCAGTTGGGAAAGGGGGGTGGGAAATCTACATTAAGGTCAAATAGGTCTAAATATTCTGCCTCTGGGAACAAGAGAGACCCAGTATAAGACAAGTATAACCCTTTCAGAGAAAATCTGCCCAAGAACATTGAGTGACATGTAATAAAGGTGACCTTTACAAAGTTTCCAAGTAAGTGATGGAACTGGATCTTCTCATCCTGGGCATTGAGAGACCCTACCTCTTATGGGACAATAGAAACAACACTAGAAAAAAGTCAGGAGACCTGGATTCACGTGTTCACTAGGTCACTTCACTATGTGACCACAGACAAGTTGGCAGGGTAGCTATGTGGCACAGTACCTAGCATGCTGAACCTGGAGTGAGGAAGACCTCAACTCAAATCCAGCCTTGGACACTTTCTAGTAAAAGCTACTAGCTGTGCTACTTCTGTCTGCCTCATTCTTAAAACTGAGAGAAGAATAGCACCTATCTCCCAAGGTTGTTGTGAAGAGCAGAGATAATATTTGTAAAAAAGTGCTTTGCAAATCTTAAAATACATATGTTAGCTATTATTATGTAAATATCAGATATTACTATCAATAAATCCAAAAGGCCTGTCTACATTGGAATCCCAGCTTTACTGGGATTCACCACTTGTGAAGGTAAGTCATTTAACCTTTCACTTTGTTTCCTCACTTTTAAATGAAATAGGTGAACCAAATGATCTCTGAGATCTCTTCCAGCTTAAATACTATAAACGACTCTCTAAGATTATTTATTGTTGTTGTTCAGTCATGTTGGACTCTCTGTGACCCTGCGTGGCATTTTCTTGGCAAAGATACTGGAGTGGTTTGCCATTTTCTTCTCCAGTGGATTAAGACAAAAAGATTAAGGGTCACACAGATAGTAAGTATCCAAGGCCAGATTTGAACTCCAGTCCAATGCTTTATCCACTGAGCCATCTAGCAGGCTCTCTAAAATTATAGGTTACTGCAAAGGTGGGGAACCTGCAGCCTCAAGGCCATATGTAGCCCTCTAGGTCCTCAAGTGCAGCCCTTTGATTGAGTCTAAGTTTTACAGAACAAATCTTTTTATTAAGGGGATTTGTTCTGTGAAGTTTGGATTCAGTCAAAGGGCCACACTCGAGGACCTAGAAGGCCACATGTGGCCTCAAGGCCAGAGGTTCCCCACCCCTGGGTTACCAAGACCTGGGAAAGACCTTAATTTAGAAAGGCTAAGGTCACTCACTGCATCCTTGGCCATCATCTTGACTTTTATCTTGCCACTGAACTTTGATGACTCTGGAGGAAAGAGTGAGGCTGATGACTTTGCACAGCTCTGCCTCACTTAATCAAATTCACTCCAAGTCAAGACATCATCCTCATGATGTCATTGGTCCTCTTCGAGAAGGATAAATAACAACAACAGATAAGGTACCTGACTGAATTGGTAGAGGGGATTCTTCATCCAGGAATTCCTTATAACAATGAAATTACAGATATAGTCCCTTTCCTTATCCCTGAAGCTGAAATGGACCTTAGACAGGAATGTGCTGATAAATGTTTAACAACCAGCTCTCCATGGGGGAGGGGGAGAATACATGACACACTTTTAAAGTTTAATTGGCATTATTAATATTTCTCTATCACTTTATTAGGTCTAGACAACCAACAAAACAATAAATCATGTAGCATTTGCCCTGATTTGTAGCATTTGCCAGTTTCTAAAGTATAAATGCTCACACTGAAAATTTAATAATCAACTCTCTAGAGCAAAGACAGCTAGCTCCAGCCCATCCCTCATTAGAGTCTCACTCCTTCATCTTAAAAATGAGGAAACTGAGGTCCAGAGAAGTTACATGATTGACAAAAGTGGGTTGATTTTAAAGTTTCTTTCCAGGTTTAATGCTCTGTGATTAATTAACTTTGACTTTCCCAGAAGCTCAAAGTTAGAGAATTGCTCTAAGTTTACAGTATCATTCATTCTCTTAAATAACTCAACCCACTTTACAAACATTGGTACATTTGTCCTTCCCTAATCCCCTGTTCCTCCAGATAGAAAATAGGAGGGAGGTATTTGCCAGCAGATAGAGAACACTTCAAGATTCTGAGATCAAAGGACCCACATCAATGACAAGGGAGATCATTCCTGCCCCTGCTTCAGGCCCCTCTATTGGACAGACTTTGAGCAGATGATCCCCATTATCCCTTTGAATCCCATCTGGAGTCTAAGGCGCCAAGACCCTGAGTGACCTCTCCCAGCTCTCAATCCACCTCTTTACAGTCTGCTCTGTTGCTCTAGTTAAAACCATTGGCTTGTGGATTTCCCTCTGAGCTCTTCTACACACTCCACCCCTGGCCAGTCTGTCTGCTCCCTCCCCCCTGGGGATTCCAGGCTTTTCAAAGGGAGACCTTGCCTGAGTCACCTCACTGTAATGCAGGCCCTGTGAGGCTGAGATGGATTCTACAGGCCAGTCTGTGAGTAAACGTGTCTGTCTCCTTGGTGCATGTGAATTTGGACTTTCTCACTGTTCATCATGGGTGAGCTGTTATTTCATCTGGTGTCTGGCTGGCTCTCAGCAAAGTCGTTCTCATCTGGTGATAAGTAATTCCCTCATCCATTTGGTCTCCAGCGTCATCACTGCTGCTTTCCCACAGAGCTCACCGGCTTCAGATGTGCCGTTCTGGGTCCCTGAAGCTTTGGTTCCAAACTGAATCATCTGGCCAGTTGTACTATGAGGCAATTGGACTGAGATCAAATCCCGGCATCTTCAGGAGACTTTTCCAGGGACCCTTTCCCCATACATACCCTGCTAGTGCCTTCTCTCTGAGACTCCCTCCAATATATATATTTTTATGTGCATATAGTTGCTCACAGAATTTCCTCCCATTAGAATGTGAGCTCTTTGAGGTCAGGTACAACGTTGTTGTCTTTCTTTGTATCTGAAGTGCTTTGAACAGTGCCTGGCACTTAGTATGTATTTAATAAATATGTGTGGACTGACTATTTATCCTGTGTGACTGCCAGCTCTCCTGGTAGAAACTATATTGATAAATGCTGGTGTCTTACATGGAGTTGCTTCCACTACTCAGTCAGAAATGAATTTCCCATGGGAGCCAAGATGGTGGAGTAAGGAGTAAATTGTCGTAATTCTCCTATATTCACCTCCAAATAACCATGAAACAATGCCCTAAAACAAATCCTGGAACAGCAGAACCAGCAAAAAGATGGAGCAAAACATTCTTTTAGCCCAAGGAACTTGGAAGATCTACAAGAAAAGTCTGTCTCACTCAGGTAAAAGGGGAATGCAGTCCAGGACTGGAAGCATCCCAGCAAGCCCGACCTCAGCAATCCAGAGGGAGATCCTGAGCCCCAGTGTGGTGGAGCAGGCAAACACCAACACCAAAAGGGGTTCTCCCCACCACGTGTCTCTGCATAGCCAGAGGAAAAGGCAGACTCCAGCTCTAAGAACCGCCACATGCTTCAGCATAGCCCTGGACAAACAAACAGCCTCCACAGGCCAGACCTCCACATGCTTCAGCATAGCTGGGGCAGACAGGTAGACACCAACTCTACAGGTGCCTAAAGAAACAGGCAGCTGCCAGCATTGGCTCCTGCCACATACTTCAGCATATCCCTGAGCAAACAGACAGCCACCAGCTGTCCAGACCTCCATATGTTTCAGTGAGGCCTGGGAAAATGCAGAAATGCCCCACTGGCCTCAGCATATGCCAGACACCAGCACTAGGACCCTGGCTCAGCACCAGGTAAGCTGTCAGAACCCTACAGCCTCTAATAGCGCCGGCCACCCCCCACCCCACCTCCTCATTGCAGCACCAGACACGAGAGTCTCAGGGCAACATCAGTGCAGCACCAGGTAGACAGCCAGGGCCTG